CATGAGTGTGGTGGTCCTCGACGCCATATTTGTATTCGTATTTTGGGTGGTGCTAAAAATATTAAGGAATGTAACATATAATAACACCATCTATGTATTTCTCAGTTTTACGTGTGGCTCATGATGATCGCCATGCTGATCTGACTGTTCAACATGATTATTAAATGATGCGTAAGATGAAGCGTGATGTTCAGCTACAGCGCACGCGACCAGAGCAACAAGGACAACAAATTTGAACATTATTTGTTTGTTGTATTTCACAAGTTTTTTTGGTTGTTTTTTGTTTGGTTGACGAACACAGTTCAACTGGCGAATTATCAAGAATGATATTAGGTATTTATAGTACTTGGCGATGGTGGTGCTTATAGTACTTGGTGTTTAATTATTTTGAAAGGCATTCTATATGTAATGCTTGAATTGATGTTATAATTTCAAAGGTGTATTAATTATTTATTCATAATATTTGATGAGTTTCATAATATTAGTAGAATAAAATGTGTTGTATTTGGTGTTCATTTAGGTTCAAAAAAACTGATAATGTAGGCTATTATTTAGTGAAATAAATTAACCAACTAATTTAGGCAACTGTAATAATGCAAAAATATAAAATTTATTTGTTTATAATAATATCAAATTTAAAAATATCAAAATGTTCATATATTGTTAGGTATATTATTGTGGTAATATAAATAATACATACAGCATGTCACAGATCTACAAACAAGTTGGGGTGGAGAGTAGTAGCATTTCTTATTGTTGCAATTTCTATCAAGTGCGTGCAATGAATTTGTTGCGGTTGTTGTCAAGGCCTCACGATTGTTGGAAGCAAGAACACACATTCCCAACCACGTGTATATTGTGTGACACGATATATGTGTATATTAATGTAGAAGCAGTGGCAAATGTTAACATATAATGTTAGTTAATTAACCACAAGCAAAGCAATTGAGCAATATTCTTGAATATGACAAATTATTTAGTTCAATTATTAATTGATTTGAACTAACAAATATAAATGCAGAAATCTGAAATAAATATTTAAGTAATTGATTAATTTGAATTCTTCTTTCTGTTAATTGTCGATTTAGAACCATTGTGTTTGTCAGCGGTGCGTGACGTACTGGGTCCTGCCATCGGGCTGCTCCAATTTGTACCATCCCTTGACGACATCCCCGTCGCGTTCCTCTTCGGCTGATTTCTGCCGCGAGTGCCTCTCCGTAGTCGTTTTTAATTTTGGTGATTTCTGCGTTTATGCGGTTTCTTGTTCTCTTGTATGCTTCGTACTCCTGCCTGGTCTTTATGCTTTTATACCTTCTGTACGCATCTAATTTTTCTTTGGCTAGCTGTTTTACGATTGAGTTGAACCACGGTTTGTTCTTATTTTTGTTCGGTGTTGACTTACACTTTCGGATCCCTACAGCTTCCTTAGCACTGCTTAGTATATTATGTTTAAGTTTATTCCATGCCTCACATACTGAATCTTGGTTGTTTATCTCATCCTTACTAATATTATAAATGCGTATGTCCTGAAGTTTATCGTGCTTTCACGCAAAAACTACTTAACAGATCATCATGAAAATTTGTACACATATTCTTAGTGGTCCCCGATAGGTTATAGGCTACTTTTTATTTAATAAAAATAATTATTTTTTAAAATAAAATAAAGAAATTGTTTATTCACTAATACCACTGCATCTGGTTATTTGACTACTTTAACGCCATCTAGCATTCCAGCAATGAAGCTCACACCTAAGTACTATAGTACCATCACACTGGATTACCGACAGCTACGTCAACATCAAATCCGTACACATATTCTTAGTGGTCCCCGATGATCCCCGAATGGTTATAGGCTACTTTTTTATTTAATAAAAAAAAATATTTTAAAAATAAAATAAAGAAATTGTTTAGCCAATAATACCTCTGCATCTGGCTATTTGACTACTTTAACGCCATCTAGCATTCCAGCAATGAAGGTCAAACCTAAGTACTATAGTACCATCACACTGTATTATCACACTGTATTACCGACAGCTACGTCAACATCAAATCCGTACACATATTCTTAGTGGTCCCCGATGATCCCCGAATGGTTATAGGCTACTTTTTTATTTAATAAAAAATTTTTTAAATAAAATAAAAGAAATTATTTATGTCATACCTCTGCATCTGGCTTCAATTGACTACTTTAACGCAATCTAGCATTCCATCTAAAATTTAAAACTTTATTGTGTAGTAATTTTTCACATGATAATCTAGCCAAGCAGTGAAATATACATTCTTCTATCAATCCGTTTCAACTATGTATAATGATTTCTAATATTTATTTGATGGATTCAACGCGAGCGAAGCCGCGGGTTCAAGCTAGTTTTCTATAATCTTTCCTGCAAGTCGTAATTCGAAGAGTTTTCTAGTGCTTTCGTTTTGAAGACTTTCTACATTATATTTTTCGGTGATGTTTTTGTGAATCTTACGGCTGATGAGTGGCAATTTATTGGATAGGCCAAAAGCGCAAAAATGAATTTTTGCATCAAGGTATGTTTTCGCATTTCTTCAGCCATATGAAAATCAAAACCATTATTGTCTTTACTTGTTTTTACTTCAACTGCGTGGTCTTTAAGCCTACAATTAATTTTTGTCTCTGTTTCAATACCGTTGATTTGCATTACGTAGATAATACCTTGTTTTGTTTTTGTTTAATGTACAAATTAAAAAGATTAAAATAGTCGCGTGCCGTCGGCTGCGTTTTTGATCCTCTGGCGGCTTTCCGGGCTGATAGCTGGTTGTTCTACATGTTTTAAAATAAAATTCTGCTTTGTGCTTTATTTTTATAATATCCGACCCATCACTTTTCCTTCATATCCAAAGAAAATACAATTTTTGAAATGTTCTATTTTTATGTTTTCTTACCTTTCACTTTTCATTGATTTCCGGTGTACCTAAGCGTTTTGATTTTTTAAAATTCCTGATGCTGCTTTTCTTATATTATCTTGTTAGTGTCGCCTTGTTAATTGATTCCATCCGCTTTCCTATTTAAATCTTAATTATTCTTTGTGTATTACCCATTATTAGTGTTTGGCCGTTTTACTTTTAAAACTTAGTTGTTTTTTGTAACACCCTGTATATTAATTTTCCTTGCTGTCAAAAGGAGAAAGATGTATGTTATCCAATTTAAACTTAGGATTTTTCTTAAAATATTGTAGTTTTCTTTTTGTATCAGTGGGTTTGTCAAAAAGGGAAAGATATATGTTATCCTACTTAAACTTAGGATTTTTTTTAAATATTGTAGTTTTCTTTTTGATTCACTCTGTATTATAATTTCCCTTAGTGGTTTTTTGTAACACCCTGTATACCAATTTCCCGAAGTGAATTTGCCACATAATTTGTTTGCGTTTCAGAAAATTTTATTAGAAAATATATAGTTGTATTCATATTGAATAAAAAAGATTGTAGGTACATGTAATTAATAATGATAAGGATGGTCAGCATGGCCGGAATATTTCACATCAGCGTTGAAGCCGTTGTGTTTGTCAGCGGTGTAATGAACAATTCGGGTCCTGCCATCGGGCTGCTCCAATTTGTACCATCCCTTGACAACATCTCCGTCGCGTTCTTCTTCGGCAGATTTCATGTCATGGGTATGGTGGTCCTCGACGCCATATTTGTATTCGTATTTTGGGTGATGCTAAGAAAGAAACACAATAATTTTTATTACATAACAATAATATTTATCTTGAATGTTTTACATGTGGTTCATGATGATCATGATGATCATCGTGGTGATATGAATGTTCAACATGATTATTGAACCATGCGTAAGAGGAAGCATGATGCTCAGCTACTACGCAAGCAACCATGGCAATGAACACAAAAAGTTTGAACATTTTGCGGGATTTTTAAGTTAAGTTTAGTTATATGTTTACCAAACAAATGTTCGTATGAAACTGATATTTTTGGTGGTTCCATTTTGTTTCGCAAATCTATATGACATATAGTATATGTAATACACACGTTCTCTTTACGTAAAATGTTGTAAAACTTATTATTTATGTGTTATTCTGATACAGTTAGTTAACGCGGAATTCCTGCATTCATTAAACATCAATAATTATTTGATATATGCTTAAATATAAATATATTGTTATTTAATGCCGCAAGTAACTCTGATTTGTGGATATTAATTGGACATTATTTTCGCAGAAGTGTTTATCAATTCTAATACACATTTCATTTGATATCAATAATTGACATTGAATTTCCTTGTTAAATTTCATTCTTTATTCAAGGTGCTAAGTTATATGAATAAAATGTTATCATTATATCTATTTTTGTTTAATCGAACATATATTTATCTATTTAAACCTATATAATATATCATTACGGCATTGCTTTATCCGAAAATTAACAGAGACATCTATGAAGATCTGTAATTTTTAAAACACCTATTAAAAGAAGGAAATATAGTTTTATGTTTCATAATTACTCACCATATAGTTACGATAAACGATTAATTTATGTCGAATAGGCTTTAGATATTTTTTAAATATGAGTATAACATATCTTTAATTACAAGACGTATTATTAACTACGCCACTTTTAAATAAAAGTGGCTTCCTGAAAAAAGACTTAAATCGAAGTCCAAATATAATTGTGCTCCATAATTAGGCACATTTTAGTTTTCATAGTCTTTAGGGAATGTAAAATAAAATTTTAATGATTACTTATGCTTACATTGTGCATTTTCAAAACTACTTGGGGTGTTGCCTATTATGTAACCTTTACATTTACAAGTGCTATTTCCGTAAATGTTGATTGTTTTGTCACTGAAAAGTTTTCTTAATATATACAATGAATTAACTTTACTATCTTAAAACAGTTTTTAAGTTCATCATTTATAGTTTTATACTTGAACATTGACTCATAATTTGTTGCATTTAAAAAAATTTTATTAGAAAATATATAGTTGTTTTCACATCGAATAAAAAAGATTGTACATATAATTAATAATGATAAGGATGGTCAGCATGGCCGGAGTATTTGACATCAGCGTTGAAACCGTTGTGTTTGTCAGCAGTGTAATGCACAATACGAGTTCTACCATCGGGTTGCTCCAATTTGTACCATCCTTTTACAACATCTCCGTCGCGTTCCTCTTCAGCAGATTTCATATCATGGGTGTGGTGGTCTTCGACGCCATATTTGTATTCGTATTTTGGGTGATGCTAAAAAAGGAACACAATAATTTTTATACATAACAATAATATTTATCTTGAATGTTTACATGTGGTTCATGATGATCATGGTGATCATTGTGGTGATAAGAACATGATTATTGAACGATACGTAAGAGGAAGCATGATGCTCAGCAACTACGCTGGCAATAAAAACAACGAATACAAAAAGTTTGAACATTTTTGTGTTAGAATACGTTTAACGACTATCAAATGGATGATCGAATTAAAGTGATGCTTTGGTGTTGTGAGCAACTCAAATTTATACGATTTTTGGGTAAATAGGTGATAGTATATTAATTGTAATGTCTTAATAAATAGTTTGATAGCGTAGGGCGACCGCGGCGTAATCATATGACGGAACAAATAGATGATAGCGACCTAATCATTATGTTAGATCAACAACAAACAACTAACAGATTCACAGAAGATGTTGAGGAGAGATGGCAAACACTCAAAACCTGCATTATAAATGCCATAGGGAAAGCGTTTGGAGAAAACAACCAAGCATAATACCATTGAAGGAAAGACCCCGATGGTTCTGTGAAGAATTAGAACAAATACTGAAGGAAGAGACAGGCTACTCAGATACAGGTCAGATGAACAGAAAAGATGTTATAGAGCATACAAAAGAATAAATGAGAGACCCATGAACTGGTCGGAGTCAAAAAAGCAAAATTGGAACAAGTTCTCCAAACAACTCGAACACTTGTATCTACGGTCTCAAAAGAGATATGAGTACATGATCCCAGCAAAAGAAATAAATAAATAGTGAAATCTCACTATATCCAAGAATCAATGGATAAAATATCTCAAAAATGTACCAATTAAACAATGTTAAGCCCACAAATCAATCACAACAATAACTGAAGAAACCATCGTGATAACAGAACAGAAGTTGAGAAAACAATTAAAACGCTGAAGAATCCGAAATCAACCGAGGGCATGATGAAAATACCAAATGAACTTCTGAAATACGAGGCAAAACCACTCCTTACATAACTTCACGAAACTAATCAACACTTGATAATTAACACCAATACATACCACAGGACAAGTGTTCTTATATACAAGAAGGAGAAAAATCGAGGATCCAAGAAATGAAGGTATTAATCTATTGTGCACCAATACTTAAGTTAACAACCAAAATAGCAAAGACGGAAGGCGACCTTTATTTGAATTGAACAGCAGGGTTTCACAAGGAAAGATCTTTATGTGATGCCATGACTATCATAAGGCAAGTGAAAAGAAAAAATCATTAGAATTCAACAGACCAGCTTTTTCACATGCTTGTAGACCTAGTAAAAAGCGTTTGATAAAGTCAAATAACCGACATTGTGCATTTGCTATATAAGCGAAACATCTCGCTGAGAATAATCAAAACCATCGAGAATATATATGCAAATAACAGCATGAAAGCCAAAATTCACGGACAATTAAGCGAGACCATACCCACAGGAACGGGCATCAGACAAGGCGACTCCCTCAGCCCGCTATTATTTAATATAATTATGGATGAAATCGTGAAAAAGGTCAAAACAAAACGTGGGTACCCCATGGGCGACAATACCATAAGCGTAGTCTGCTACGCAGATGACGCAATTCTACTGGCAAGGAGCGAGGATGATCTGCAGCGAATACTTCACGAATTCAACACCACTGCGAAAATGTTTAATATGCAGATATCATCGGAAAAAACCAAGTGCATGACAATCAGCATAAACCCAATAAGGTGCAAACTAGAAATCGATGGAAAAATCATCGAACAGGTCAATAAATTCAATTATCTTGGCACCCTACTAACCAGCAACGGGACAACCGAAGAAGAATTAAAGCCACAGGTGGATAAAGCATGCAGAATAGCAGGCTGCCTCCTCGACACGATCTGGAGGAATAACAATCTGCAAATAGCCACAAAGAGCAGAATATACAAGGCAGTCATCCGCCCAATCCTTACCTATACCTGTGAAACACGCCCGGAAACCACGCAAACAGCAAGAATGTGTAATACGGCAGAGATGAAAATCCTACGATGCATCAATAACAAGACTCTTAGAGATAGAATCAGGAATACCGATATAAGAAAAGCATGCCATATCGAGAACATCAATGAATGGACCAGTCACCGAAAAAACGAATGGAACGAACACATAACGAGAATGGCAGAAACAAGAACCGTGAAGATAGCACGGGACTCAATCCCCCTAGGCAAAAGATCTCCAGGAAGGCCTCGCAAACGTTGGAAAGACGGACTATTGTAGAGTGGATGAACAGGCACAGTTATGCCTAATCCCAGAAGAAGAAGAAGAAGAAGAAGTGCTTATTAAGTTGTGCGTGCCCGTATTTCTTGCGTTGTAATCTGTTCCGGACGCCATCTTTCTTAAGTTATACTCTGACCTCTTTGAACTTGCACTTGAAAATCTATTAAGTTAGATCTCGCGAACGAGTCCTTCGCGAGTTAAGTAATGATCGTTAAACAAACCGCGACAACCGCGTAAACAGTATATATGTTGGTAGCACTTGTTAGGGGCAACCCCCTTATTACCCCTTACTACACCCCTTATTACACCATTGTGGGATGACGGACGCAGCTGCCCTGTACTCGCCCTCTTACTCGTTTAGCCGTCTTAGCGAAAGCACGTCAAGTTTGTATTGTACACACATTAAAGTTTTTCTATATGTTATATCCTGTAACATCCTGTTCGTTTTCATTTCATTTGTAACAATAAACATCAACATGATTCAACAGTAACTGCTCCTAATAATTTAGATGAAGAAGCAATTATTGGCAGAAATCAAACAGTGACAGAAATCATAACTAGCCACTTAGATGATAAATACTATAAAAAAAAATCTTAACAATAAAGACCCTGTAAGTGTCATTAAAAAATTAAAAGAAGCTAAAAGGGTAGAGAACAATGTCATTCATACTTCAGTTACAACGAAGTTATGCCATATGAGACTGCAACCGAAGGAGAGTATTGATAATTATTGGAATAGATTCGACAACACTATTGTTGAATATTAGAACTGTGACAATGCGGTGCCTTTAACAGACGAGGAAAAAAGATCAACCTTTTATAAAGCTGTCTACAATGTTATACCAGATATACGTATTGCAGACTTAACTCTGAAACAGGGTGCAAGTGCAAATCAAGCAAAAAGATTGAAAATTCATCACGACAACTGCCATAGATGTAATAAAATGGGTCACTACCTTGAACAGTGTCCTTTAGAAGCAACTGGTGAATGGCATTGTTATATTTGCAAGATCATAACTGATCACAATGTAAATATTTGTACCAAATTTGATGCTGCTAATCAAAACTCGAGAAAGCCTGACTACAAACGAGGTCATGGTCGTGGTAGATCAAAACTCTTCACCTATGATAAGAATGAGAGCGAAGATATCATGACACACATTGCACCACTTCAGGGACTTTTTCGTGAGTTAAATGAGGAATTGATGTCTGTGGCACAGGTCCAACTGCCAGACCTGTTATTAATGAGTCCCATCATGTCAACTCTTCCCGACGAATACTTCGAATTTAAAAGTGTGTGGGAGTCTGTCCCCTTTGCAGATTGTACTATCAACAAATTGACCAAGCGTCGGCGTTTAATTGAAATGCGCTTGCCTTCCAAAAAGAGTAACTCAACGGCGTTGGATGCGGTGAGGGGTAAAACGCACAAAAAATTTGTCATCAAGTGCCACAAATGCAAAAAGGCAGGACATTTTGCTCGTGAGTGTAGGAAAAAAGGATAAACATTCGAACAATTTTAGTGCGGGTGACGCATTCGTGGCGTGCACAGTGACCGATAAACAAACAGTGTCGGACAATGACCTTTGGGTAGCAGATAGTGGCGCAACATCACACATGACTAGTCAAATGACAACTTTATTTCTTTCAAAGGATTTGAAAAGGAGAAAGGTGTGCATTTAGCAGATTCCAGTGTAATAAGTGTGATTGGTAACGGGGTAATTAATGTGACAATGCGCGTTGGCGGAAAAGATTACCAGAACTATTTGCTGGACGTTTGGTACGTACTAAAATTCGGGCGTTATTTGTTTCCTGTGAGCGCAGCCATAAAGCAGGGTTTTAAACTCTATGCCGATGAACGGTCATGCAAGTTCGTGAGAAACAACGACGTACGTTTAATAGGTAAAGTAAATCCGCGAGGCTTGTACGGGCTCTGCATGAGCGTAATTCAATTGATAATTATCTTGATGACAGCGAAGCTATGCTAGCGAAGCTATTCTAACGAGTGGATCATCCACAAAAGTAGAATCCCTGCAAGTATGACATGAAAGGTTCTGCCATCAAAACAAAACGCATGTGCGTGATGTTCTAAAGAGGCACGGCATTTGCGGTGATGGCCGTGAAGAAGATGAGTCCTGCGAAGCGTGCATATTTGGAAAGCAGCATCGGTTGAGCTATCGCGTTCGAAAAGACAGAGCGGAAAGTGCCGGAGTACGCGTACATGCGGATGTATGCGGTCCGATGCAAGAAAAATCGCTGGGCGGGTCGCGATAATTTTTATGTATAAAGGACAAATTTAGCAACTATCGTCGTGTGTTCTTTATGAAACATAGAAATGAAGCGGTTGAATGCATCAAAACTTTTTGACGTGATAACGTCTTTAAAATCGTTTTACGGGTGACCTGTTCAGAAACTGTGTCACGAGCGAGAAGTCGATACTTGTTATACCCACCCCCTCTCGTTATAACGAGAGAGACGAACCGATCTCCGTCTCATCTCGAGAGCGCTGCCAGTCATTTCCGGCCCCTCTCGTTGCCAACCAGAGACGGACCGATCTCCGTCTCATCTCGAGCGCTGCCAGTCATTCCGTGCCAGTCCTTAGCGTTCAGTGATTTGACCGATCTTCCGTCTCTCTCACTCCTAGCAACATACAAACGAATGGAGATTTTCTCGTGCGGTTAAGTTTTCGTTGAATGTTTTATCGGCCGATAAAAAGTTTGTAGTGTGCGGGGA